TGGGACCAGCAACTTGGTCATTAAGTGAAGCAGTTGCTAAGTGACACAATGACTGTGCTTACAAACTTACTTCAGCTTTCCTTTGCTTTACAGACCTGCAAAGGTTGTAAATGTGAGGATTGGTCACAAAGTTACTTTTTCATCACCATCATAACTGCAAACAGTTGCCAAATGAAGCAGTCGCTAAATGAGGACTACCTGTAGAATGAACAACATCCTCTTAAAAGTTGAAAAACTAAAAATTTAATGCTCATGGGTGTTCTAGGACTAGATGCACCAATGGGACTGCCTATTTTCCTTTGAAAATTGTCCTTTCTCAATCAAGTGGAGCATCCCTATAGTAGAAATTCTTCCTCTGACAATTCACATTCAGTTTATGTAGCTTTTCTCAAGTATCATGACACTATTTTGATGTTACAAAGGTATACTTTGTTCACTTACTGATATTATATCTTTATATTGTTTTTATTTTTTTCTTTCTGCCTTTTTTATATAAAAATGATTAATTAAAAAAAAGAGAGAAACACTTTTTAAAGAAATAAGAATATAGGAAAAGTTATGCTGAATCAGACCAAAGTTCTTGCTATTATAGCATCCTATTTCTACAGTGACCAGCCAGATGCCCTTAGGAATCTTTTGAAATCAGGCAAAAATGCAACTGTACCTCTCACCAATGTCTTCCACCCAACTATTGGCATACTACATACTAAAATTTCATTGTTTGACTCTATGATGATTGAATACCTACACTTCTCTAATGACTATATATTGTCTTAACAAGTTCTAATATTTCCTTAATAGACCAGGAAATATTAGAACTAAATACCTGGCTACTATAATGATCTGATTGTGGTCCTGTGTTGGGCAGGAGGAACTTGCAATAGTGATTCATGCCCTCATCAGTACTTGATCAGAGTATTTCAGTGCACTGTACTTAGAGTTGCCTTTGAAGACCATCTGGAAGTTCCAGCTAGACCAGAATATGGTGCCCAGACATTGTTCAGGGCCCTGTACTGGCTTCCTTTTAGCTTCCAGGTGCAATTCAAAGTACTGATTATTACCATTAAAGCCCTATATGGCTTGGCACTCAAGTACTTGCAGGACCACTTTCTCCAAACAGAATTGATCTGCCCAACCAAAGGATCTCAGGAAAAAAGTACTGGTGACTCCCCAAGCTTGTAGTTTGTCGGTTGTGGGACCTGTACTGTGGAATTGCTTCCCTTTAGAAATCAGGCTGGCCCCTACATTACTAGCATTCCAGAAATTATTAAAAACCAAATTGTTTTTTGAGGTCTTTTGGAGACTGATGAGATGCCCATGACTGATTGATGCTATTTATTATGGTTTTATGGAGTTTGTTTACTGTGAATGTTTTAATTAGAACTGCTTGTTCAGGCTCTTAATTACTGTAAACCACTGAGAGTCCAGTTGATTGCAATGACAAATAAATAAATTAAAACAGAACTTACCTGCTGTCCCATCCCTTTGAAACCTGTGGAGCTATTCATCCTTCCAGAAATTAAGGGGTTAGAGCCTGGGGGAATTGGTCTGTAATTTTTTCCCCATACCTGTAACACATTTCATATCTTCAGACGGCCAAAACATTTTTGGAGGCAATGGATGTTTATATTTGTGTTCTGCCAGAACACAAATCAACCAATTGGATAAGTTTTCTATCAAATTAGTTTGCCAAGAAAAAGAAAACAGAATATTTAGAATTATCTTAAAACCACTTCTACACATATGGGTAATTGTTTGGGCTAAGGATAACAAGGGCAACAATGATAACCTGTAGATGGAACTGAACTCTAATCTCAGTTTAATGAAGTGCCCAGCCGTATGGTCATTAGGTGACCTTTGGCAAATTACATGTTATCAGTCTCAGGACTGGTTTACACAGTGAAACCATCAGAAGCATATCTGAAAAAAGGAGGAAGAGCCAACTTTTGATATCAAACTTGAATCAACATATAGGTCTTCGATGCATATTTCTTTCCTTCCTCCCTACTATTATTCACAATCCATTTAATAGTAAATTTCTTGGGAGAATTTTTTTTCTTTTTGGATACAGAGTATCAAATTAGATGTAGAGAGAGAGAGAGAAGTAGACTTTCACTGTATACATTGCTGGTTGTGTATTTTTATTCAGTGAAAGACACGCAGC